AGAGTTGAAAGAGCAGTGTTGGGGTCCTGCTCCACAGGAGGGTTTGGGTGGCAGAAGGAAGGTGGAAAATCTGTTGGGCCTTAAATATGGTGGGAGAGAGGTTGGTTTGGCCCTTCCAGGTGGCAATGAAGGGTTGGGTCTAGCAGAAAACCTTGACTGATGCTTCCAAGCTAACCATGAGGCCTTAAAACTCTTTCTCTCTCTTCCTTTCTCTGCAGGATTATCCCAAGCTCAGCCAGTCATACTATTCCTTGCTGGAAGTTCTTACCCAGGACCACATGAACTTTATAGCCAGTCTTGAGCCTCATGTAATCATGTATATTCTCTCTTCCATTTCAGAAGGCCTCACTGCACTAGGTAACTCCTCCTGCTCTCTGCTGGGTTTTTAAGGCTTTGGTTTGGAAGTGGAGGGAGAGATTTTGGGGCTTGGAATGGAGAGTTTTCAGGGTGAAAGATAAAATGTGCCTTGTGAAAACAGATGGAGGATTTCACCTCAGTTCAAGCTGGAATGGTAGAGATAAGGATAGAGAGGTTGGACCAGGTGACCCAGCACTGGTCCCTTCCAACCTTAACCATTCTCTGAATGTATGGAGTCATGGAATTCTGGAATGATTTGCATTGGAAAGGACCTTAAAGATCATCCAGTGCCACTCATGCCATGGGCATGGTCACCTCCCACCAGCCCAGGCTGCTCCAAGTCCCATCCAACCTGGCCTGGAACACTCCCAGGGATGGAGCAGCTACAGCTGCTCTGGGCAACCTGTGCCAGAGCCTCACCACTCTCACAGGGAGGAATTTCATCCCAATATCCAATCTAACTCTGCCTTCTGGCAATGTGAAACCATTCTCTGTGTCCTGCCCCTCCAGGCCCTTGTCCCAATCCCTCTGGAGCTCTCATGGAGCCCTTAAGGCACTGAAGGGGCTCTAAGTTCTCCCTGAAACCATCTCTTCTCCAGACTGAACAATCCCAATTCTCCCAACCTTTCCTACCCTCCTATCAGGGAGGAAATCACTGACCTGTTTGCTTTTGGGATGGATTTTTGCTCTACATTCCCTACAAAACCCTAGAGTGGTATTTCCCTTGGAGCCTCTCCAGGTGCACCTGGCAGCACCCCAATGTTGCTGGTTTTGCTGTCCCTGCAGACACCATGGTTTGCACAGGCTGCTGCTCCTGTTTGGACCACATTGTCACTTATCTCTTCAAGCAACTGTCCCGCAGCACCAAGAAGAGGACAACCCCCCTGAGCCAGGAGAGCGATCGCTTCCTGCACATCATGCAGCAGCACCCAGAGATGATCCAGCAGGTAAGGCCCAGGCAGGGATTTTTGCAGAAAAACCTCTCTGCTGCACCCTGAATTCTCCTGGCATGATGTCACACTTTTCCTCCCTGCTCCACAGCCCCAGGGGGGTCTGGAATACAAAGGGATTTTGCTGGTATAGCATCTTTCCTACACACTCCTCACTGGGTAGGTGTGACTCCAAACTCTGCTCCAGGGTGTGCTTTTCTCTGGGCAAGGAACAGCATTTTGGGTGTTTGAAAATAGCCAAAAATGAGCTCTTTTTTTTTTTTTTCTTTTCTATTTGAAAGAGATTTCTGGTGTTCTCCAGCCTCACTCACTGCTGCTTGTCAAAGTGTCAGCACAACTCCCACGTGGCAGCAGGGAGGATTGTTCCACCCATGCTGGAGATGAGGTTGCAAAGCACAGTAGGCTTTTTTGGGGGCTAGAAACTGCATTTTCTGAGGCTAAAAACAGAAACTGCATCTTCCAACCCAACTGGGTTAGATCCTTTAGCCTAAGGAGGACTGTGGGAGGAAATGCAGAGGAAGGCCAAGAGGAAGCTCCTCAGGTTCATGTGCTCTGTGCACTTGTGTCAGGGAAGAGGAGCCAATATTCCCCTGGCTGCCTTGGGGCAGGGTGGGATGTGTCAGGAATCAATACCTCAGTAAAAACAGAAACTGCATCTTCCAACCCAACTGGGTTAGATCCTTTAGCCTAAGGAGGACTGTGGGAGGAAATGCAGAGGAAGGCCAAGAGGAAGCTCCTCAGGTTCATGTGCTCTGTGCACTTGTGTCAGGGAAGAGGAGCCAATATTCCCCTGGCTGCCTTGGGGCAGGGTGGGATGTGTCAGGAATCAATACCTCAGCAGCTCTCAGCACCTCAGTGAAGTTCTCCACCAGCTCATGGAGGCTCCAGCAGCTTGTGCCCTTCCATTCTGTGGTGGCCTTGGCAGTGCTGGTTTAATGGTTGGACTCATGGAGTGGTTTGGGTTGGAAGGACCTTAAAGGTTAGTGAGCTCCATCTCCTGCCATGGGCAGGGACACCTTCCACTAGGTGGAAGGTTGCTCCAAGCCCCATCCAACCTGGCCTGGAACACTCCCAGGGATGGAGCAGCCACAGCTTCTCTGGGCAATGTGCCAGTGCCTCAGCACCCTCTTGGGGAAGAATTCCTTCCTAATATCCAATCTAAACCCACTGCCTTTCAGTTTGAAGCCATTCCTCCTTGTCCTGTCACTCCATGCTCTTGTTAATGCCCTTAAAATTCTTTTCCAACCCCAGTTCCATGATTCCCTGATGCTCAGAGCCTTCAACACTGGAGCATCCAAGGCAAATGGTTTCTCCAGGCCTACCCAGTGCTGTGTTGAGGAGGGAACTGGGATGGCAGGGCTGGGTTTAACCTCGTTTCCCTCTTGCAGATGCTCTCCACAGTGCTGAACATCATCATCTTTGAGGACTGCAGGAACCAGTGGTCCATGTCTCGCCCTCTGCTCGGCTTGATCCTGCTCAATGAAAAGGTACAGGAGGGGCTGGCAGGGCTTGGATAGTGCTGAGGGAGCACAGCAGGTCTTGGGAAGTGATCATGTATCGAGGGAAAGGTGTCCAGCCCTTCCCTGCACAGCCTTGGAGCTGGAGGATCCAGTCCCTTCCATTCAGAGAGCACTAGGAGTTACCTGAAGAGCTGGAACACATTCCCTGCCTCTTCCCAAGAGCCTGTTGTGTGTGCCTTATGCCAAAGCCAAGGTCACCTGGAATCTAACCCATCCTTCTCCTGTCTTTCCCAGTATTTCTCTGACTTGAGGAACAGCATAGTGAACAGCCAACCTCCAGAGAAGCAGCAGGCCATGCACCTCTGCTTCGAGAACCTCATGGAAGGCATCGAACGCAACCTGCTGACCAAGAACAGGGACAGGTCAGTGTGGGCTGGGCCTGGCCAGGAGAGATGGGCAATCTCCCATGGAATTTCTTAATGGAGAGTTGTCAAGGGCAGGGGGGAGTTGCCATGGCTGGAGGGATTTAACTGATGTACCTGGGGATGTGGTTGGTGGTAGAGCCACAGCTTCATGCTGGAACACAACCTGGAGGGTGAAATGCTGGAGGAATGGGCAATGTTCCATGGAATTTCTTCATGGAAAGTGTTCTCCAGCCCTGGTACAGGCTGCTGAGGGCAGTGGTGGAGTCACCATCCCTGGAAGTGTTGGAGGTGTCTGGACCTGGTGAGGGAAGATGCAGTTTAGGTGTTACAGCAGTGACAGGTTGGACTTCTTGAACTTGAAGGTCTCTTCCAGCCTTGATGATTCTCTATGCTCCTGGATGCCTCAACCCTGGTAGTGCTCAAAGCCAGACTGGATAAAGCCTTGAGCAGCCAGGTCTGGTGGGAGGTGTCCCTGCCCAGGGCAGGGAGTGGGATGAGGTGACCTTTGAGGTCCTTTCCAACCCAAACCATTCCAGGATTCAGTCATCAAGGCCATGTTGGATAAAGCCTTGAACAACCTGGCCAGGGCAGGGAGTGGGATGAGATGACCTTTGAGGTCCTTTCCAACCCAAACCGTTGCAGGATTTATTCATCAAGGCCATGTTGGCTAAAGCCTTGAACAACTTGGCCAGGGCAGGGGGTTCATAGACTCATCAAGGTTGGAGAAAACCTCCAAGATCATCAAGTCCAACCTTTAACCTGTCACTGCCATAACCCCTAAACCATATCCTCCAGTCTCTTAAACACTTTCAGTGCTGGTGACTCCACCACCTCCCTGAACAATATTCCACTGCCTGACTACCCTAACAAGGAAAATATTTTTCCTACCATCTAATCTGACTCCCTTGTCTCAGCTTTTGGTCATTCCCTGGGCAATATTCCAGTGCCTGACCACCCTAACAAGGAAAATATTTTTCCTACCATCTAATTTGACTCTCCGTTGTCTCAGCTTTTGGCCATTCCTTCTAGAACCAGACTGGGACTAGATCATCTCTTATGGTCCATTCCAACCGCTTAACCTTTCACGATTCTCTTGGTTTTATGCTTCCACCTCAAAGAGCTTTTCCAACCTAAACAATTCCAGTCTTCCCTACCCTAACATATTCCCTACCCTACCCTCAGGTTCACCCAGAACCTGTCAGCGTTCAGGCGAGAGGTGAACGACTCCATGAAGAACTCAACCTACGGCGTCAACAGCAACGACATGATGAGCTGACGTCTCCCACCTCCACCTGTACAGAGCAGCATCTCCTCGGCCTGGCCCAGAGGGGTTCCCATTCCCCATGGAAAGCAAAGAGAGGGCGTTCCCAATCCCTGCTCTTCCCTAGGGCTGGATTGTCGCTTTGGCCCGAGGGAGGAGGAAGCAGGAGGTTGAGCTCACCTGGGCAAGGTGCTTCTGTTTCCATGGGAGGGGGGTGGAAGGGCATAACCAGGAGCCAGATTCCAAGGTGTCCCTGTGGAATGTCCCTGTGGAACCCAGGGCTCTGCTGCAGCTGCCTTGTATAAACATGTACATTTTTTCATAACATTTTGAACAAGGTTTATATTGACTCGAGTTTAAAAAAAAGAAAAAGGACAAAAAAAAAAAAAGGCAAAAAAAAAAGCTTAAAAACAAAACAAAAAAAAAAACCACACACAAAAAAAAAAAATTCACAAATGAAAGGAAAAAAAAAAACAAACACAAAAACCAAGTGTGATTGAAATTTTTACAGAGTCCT